ATTCAGACTGAGGTACAAGCTCTTAGAACTACTTTAGGTTGAAGTTGTGTATGTATCACGCAAAGGTCCCTAGTCTGGAATAAGCGGCCCATTTTAGCAACTATTGCCCAAACATTCAATCGATCTAAAAATGTGAAATTGAATGTTCAAATGTTCATTATAACTGATGAAATAATATTTCCTTGGGTCTAAGGATATAAGACTATTAGAGCATTAGCAGCGGCGGGGTAAAGGGCCTGCCACTTCAGCCTCCATCCTCCTTCAGCGTGGCAAGGCAAAGGCGAGGCACCCCGCCTGTCGAGCCATGCGTGAGGCATCTTCAATTTTTTTAGCTGGAATTTTTTTAAAGAGAGTATATCTATTTTTATAAAAAAAGATAAGTAAAATAATTTTTAATAATTAAAATACATCATAAAAATGTAAAAAAATGATAAACACAATGACTTGTCATTGCATTGCTTGCCACTAGCTCCTCTCATTCTCCATACGCTGACTGGATTGTCTATGATTAGATTAAATGTGTCACGTCAACGTATGGATACTATATACTCTCTCTCACCTACCATTCATCATCTTTCCATAGAGGGTTTCAAGCTCCATCAATGATCGTTTAACGTATTTTGTACGTGTAAGTACACTCCCAATACATAATAAAATCCCTCGTAGAGTTTTATGCTCCATTAATGGCCGTCGAACCTATTTTATACAATTACACCCTAAATACTCTCTTGGCATGGCACCATCGGAAAAAACCCATGATTTTCTCTGGGTCGTCGAACTTTAATGATTTTCTATAGAAAAAACTCATGATTTTCTCTGCTACACCGAAGGTACACTAAAATTTAATTCTATGAATCTCCTCACATAAAAATTAGTTCTTTAATTTTTTAAAAAAATAAAAATAAAAATGTTTATCTCAACATTAAAGAAATGCTTATTTGCTTCGTCCGTAGGTCCATGGTAGAATTTGCCTACACACAAATCCAATAAATGATACTACCTTTGTCCTTTAGTATTTGTCAAGTTTTGACTTTTTATAGTTAACCATTCCCAACCATTAACATATGATTATATAAAATATATATTATATTAATTAGATAAAATGATATTTAGAAAGTATTTTATAAAATAAATCTAATAAAAATATTTTTGTATCAATATCTCATATCACTTTTATATTAATTAGATAAAATGATATTTAGAAAGTATTTTATAAAATAAATCTAATAAAAATATTTTTGTATCAATATCTCATATCACTTTTATTTAACCTAAGGTGAAAATTTACCTATTTTAATTGAAAAATTCAAAAGTGGACAAATACTCAGGAACGGAAGAGTATCGTACTTCCAAAGTTTTTATATGTTTACATCCGGAATCCGTGCTTCTCACTCAGCTCTTTAGATAAAACGAATTGAAAAAACTCACAATTTTTCTTCGTTTTCCGCAGTTTGTAATCAAAATAATGACAGAGGAAGTAATATAATCATGTCACTTTTAATTTTGTAAATCGAGTAGATTCTTTGATCTACTCTGTAGTTTTTAAATATATATAATTTTTATTTTTTTAATCTAACCCTAATTAGTGTATATAATGAACTAAAACTAAATTTATATATATATGAAGAGGAGAAAGAAGGAATGAAAGGTTTTTTGAAGAATAAAGCTATTTGTACCGCAAATTTTTGTATTCCATTTGTACACCGTAGGTTTACATTGACATTTTGTGTTGGTGTAAAACTAATTTTTGTTAACGCATCAACACTTTGTGTCTGTGTAAATTTTTGTTAACGCGCCAACACTTGTGTCGGTGTAAACCATCAAAATGTTTGTGTATAAATGGGGTACAACTTTTGGTGTAAGTGTAGCATGACCCTTTTTTGAAATATAAATGTTTTAAATTTCTACATAAATGTTACGTAAACAATGTCACGTGTTAAGTGTATATAGCTTGAAGTCTATTTTATATGGTAAATTATATGGTGCACTTACATATGAGCAAAATAAAAATTTATTTACTACTTAAATAAGCATCTATTTTTTTAAATAAAAAAATTAAAAAAATATTTTTTTATGTGAGAAGTCCACAAAAAGGGTATGCACCCAAGGTGCACCATAGAAGCATTCCTTTATATATATACACACACACACACACACACACACACACACACACACACATATATGTATATATATATCAACTCAAAAGCAATGCTCAAAAAATTAAAAGTTCACTCTTGTTAAAGATTTGTTACACTTTTTTTAAAACAATTCAAAAAATTTTGCATTTCTGTTTTATTAGAAATATGATAGTCGATTATCGAAAAACGAATCGTAGTATCGCTCGAGAAAGATATTAAAATAAAAAATTGTAGTCAGTTGTATATATAATTAGTGCCGTTTTGGAGAAAACATTTTGTGCCATTTTTACAACTTCTGAATCGTTATTTTGGAGAAAAACTTTGTACATAATTATCAAAAAAAACCACAAGTTTTGTAGTGTCATTTTACAAAAATAATATGAGTAATAGTTGATTATCGATAAACATTTCTAAGTATTGCTCATTAAAACAATCGCAATGCAACAAAAATGTAGTGAGTTATAGAAGTAGTAGTTACATATCGGAGAAAAAATTATTCCGCCATTTTTTACTGTTCTTTTGTATAAAACATTTGTAATGAATTATCAAAAAAAATCACAAGTTTTGTGGTGTTATATTCGAAAAAAATAACAATAATATATTATCAAAAAACAATTCAAACTTGATGAGCAGTATATAGTGTCATAATGCCACAGTTCAAATTTTTATTTTGGAGATAAAATTATAGAACTCATATTTTGAAGATAAATACTAAGTTTTACTCTAATTTGAGAGGCTTTCTTTTGCAACTTACAAAAAATATAATGCGTGATGAATTAAATAAATAATTCCTTCCCTTTTGTATAATAATTTATTGTGCAATTTCACAACTTTTGTAATATTAGATTGGAAAAATAATAATTATGAGATGATCGATTATCGAAAAAATAATTAGTGCCGCTATAGGAAAATAAAGAATTTGGTATTATTTATAAAAAAGGAATTCAAAAAAAAAATAAATTTGGTATTTATTTATAAAAAAATAAAAAAAAATTACCTAAAATAATCTCACATTTTGTTTATTTGCGAAAACTAGTGATGACATGACCATATTATTTTATCAAATGATTAACAAAAATAAAGAAAGCAAGTGAATGAAGTTTACTCATATAAATAATAATAAGACAATTTAATTTGGGACAATGAGAGTACATGGCATTGTACTGTCTCGTTTATACTTGAATGAGAGTGAACGACTATGGAAATTATTCTATGTCAATATCAAATTATTTTGATAAGAAAAATGCTAGGGCAGGTGTGCAAGAAATTCAAAAAAATAAAATTAAAATAAAATAAAAATGTGTAATGAATAAGGGGATAGTGTATATTTAGGGTACATCTTTGGTGTATCCTTATCATTGCTCTTTTGATAAACACGATATGTGATGAATGTTAGTGTCATGTACTTCGTCCACTTTGGATTAATTATTTAATCAAAAGAAAGTGATACTCTATTTGTCACAAAGATAAATTGATGAAGCGATTTAACAATGTTTGACTTATTATGTTATTTTCATTTCAACTTATTTTAACATTAGGATGAAATTTAAATAAACTGTATTTAAAGAGTACATAAAGAATTTTTCATGAGACGATGTGCAATTGAAACAGTTATAAATAACAAAATACATATGGAAAACAACGAGCTGGTTTGCCCGAGAGGTTAAGGGGGAAGACTTAAGATCTTCTGCACATAAGTGCGCATGGGTTCGAACCCCATAGCCAGCATGATTTTTTTCAACCTCTTAATAAAAAGTCTTTCTTTTTTAAAGTGCTTTACGGCCCCAATACAATGAAACCATGAAAATTATTTCGCGCTTTTCCCTTGATAAAAAGTCATGCATCACAATTCACAAATTCATATTTAAATAAATAAAAATGGGGTAAAAATGAATGGTGGAGAAAGGAGTGGAAGACAAATGGGGTACACCATGGTGTACCCCTAGCATTGCTCTCTCTATCAAGAATCACGCAATTTAGTTACACAAATGTCACAATCAGTAATGAAGGGGGGAAAAGTACGATTGATGAAGGAAGAAGAAGAACGGAAAGAAAAAGAATATCAGAGAAGAGTCAATGGAAAAAGAGAGGTGGAAAGGAGACGAGAAGAAAATGCAAAGGAAGAAGAAGAATATCTGAGGTAGACGATTCAGGGCCGGCCTCGAAAAAATGAAAAAACGAAAATTGGCCCATTCTGAAATTTCCATTTTGCACACTCTCCGGGCCACCCATGTAGACAAAAAAGATGGGAAGGGGGTGGCACAATCCGTCCAATTGGGTTCCTTTCCCTCTAACTTTTTTAACCAAATTTTTCCTTCCCTTTCCCTCCCCTCCCCTCCCGACCAACCAAACATAGCTTAAAGGAACTCTTATATAAATTTATAACTAGTATTTAAACCCGTGCCATGCACGGGTGGAATGAAATTTTTTGTCGATTCCAAATAAAATTTAAAGCAATATTTTTTCAAGAATAAAGAAAATATACTTCTCCCATGATATTTAATATCATAGAAAAAAACCAAAGTGGAATAAATAATATTTGAGGGAGTGATTGTGTACAATACAAAAAAAATTAATACTAAATTTTCTAAAGGACTTCAGGGTATACAAAAGATATGTTCATTGTTCTTATTATTATTTAAAAAAAATTAAAAATAAATTTTAAATTTTACCATTTTCTTTTTGTTAAGGAAAAGAATTTGAGTATCATTTTTTACCATGTTTTTTTAATTTTTTTCATTAATTTATTAAGTTATTTTTTCAATTTTTGGAAAAGTCAAATTATTATTCGGTTTTTTTTCTTTTTTAATATAAATAAGGTATGTGTTATACTAAAAAATGCATTATTGTTCCATTCATATTTTTGTTGCATTTTAATATACATAGAATACATTTCTATTTTCAAAAAGACTTTGAAATATCAAATTTATATTATTCAATTTTATTTTTAAAGAAAATAGTGTTTGGGTATGATATATATTTTGGTTTCAAATAAACATCAGAGTATTTTTTTACACCAATATTATGGTCGTTTATTTTTTGGTGAATTCAAGTTGCTAGTAGGTTTTTCAATAGTATAGAAGTATTTGAAAAATAATGTTAACCTCAATGATGTTAAAATTTGAGGTGTGCATGAACACTTTTTATCATTTTTTTTAATAAAAATAAGTCATGTGCTATGTAATAAACATTGTATTGGGGATCGTATATATATTTTTTTTCCTTTTAACCTTCGTGGTATGAACATGTATATGAAAATTATTTAAACCTTTTTATCAATTAATATCTTAAAGGTCATCAATTTAATCTGCATCAATTTCTTACTCTGTATATAATATTCTTTAAATTTTACTCAGTTATTACGTGGTGT